ATTCATATACATCACTTTGCTTAAAATTGCAGAAACTACCAGTGACGTTAACTGAGATCTTACTGTGCAGATATATTTTTATCAATAGAGAATAGTATATAACTCCTTTTATATGCTATTTCCATGAAATAGGCTCAGTAGATATAAACTGAAGAGCATGAATAAGAGAAAAATGTAGTAAAATAATTAGAGAATGAAAAATTTCCATTTACTTTATTGTGGTAAAACATACATGGCATAAAATTTACCACTTTAACCATTTTAAGTGTCTAGTTTAGCAGCATTAAGTATCTTGTGATGGATTTAAGTGGTTATTACTCTTGTACTTACCATAATTTATTTGACTATCAATTTGCATAGTTAAATTTTATGATGGCTGCATTTCACAACCTGCTCACCGTCTCTGAGCATTTCACGACAGGCTCTGCGGGCCAGGACGAGCTGGCTGTGCCTGCACGTGTCTCTTCAAGGGCTCGCTCTGGCCTCAGCATGCAGGTGTGCACCCCCACGTGCCTGTGTGCGGTTCCATGTGTTCCCATGCTGACGCCGTGTGTGCCCATGCGCCCGGCTGTCTCTGCGGGTGGCTGCTCGGTCTGCACGCCACCATGTTTCCCTGGACTCATAGGTGTCCCCCTACCTGTGTTCTAGGGGCCCGTGTGCATGAGCCTACTGCCTGAGTACCTGCTTCCCAGATGTGCTGGAGCCACGTCTGGACACTTCTTCCTAACTCCACACTCAGTGACACCAAGTTGGCAGATGAAATCAATCAGGATTGGAGTATTTATACCTCAGGAATAAGCAGATGCTACATGTCAGGGTTTCAATTTTTGTGTTCTTTCTTCCTTTTTCTTTTTTGTCAGAGAAGTGGTTATTAGCAACGTACCAGCATACCATGGGGACCCAGGTGTCTCCGTGCCCAATGTAACCACATGTATACCCATGTACCAGTGCATGGTTATGAGTGTGTCTGAGCAACCGTGTCTCCGTGAACACACGTGACTTTTGTGTCCCCATAAGCCTCTGCCTGTGTACCCATGTGAGGCCCAGAGCCCTGTTCCTCTTTGGCAGTTGGTTCTGCAGGAAGCCGTTGGGGTGGGGGCGAGGGTGCTGAGGCTCCCCCGTCCCCCACCCGCCTCCTCAGAATACCTGCATGTGCAGGGGTGAGTGGTGGAGGGCATGCCTGCCTCTAGGACCCCAGGCTTTTGCGGTGCTCGGGCCTCTGCCTGCCCTCTGCTGTGCACGGACGCGACAGGCAGGCGTTAAGGAAAAGGAAGTTGAGGTCACCCTGCGGTCACCCCAGGCTCTGGCCCGCCAATGTTCCCCCTGGACAGGCTAGAAAACTTGGCCACGGGTGGTGGAGGCTGCAGGAGCTTGTAGCCAGGCTGTGTGCCTGCAGCAGCGAGGACAAGGCTCCATGCGGTGAGTGAGCACCTCGGGGGCGGGCGGGCTGAGGGGCAGATGGGCCAGCCCAGAGAGACTGGTAGTGAGGTCTGGGGTCTGAGGGGCAGCAGACAGTTTCTCTCCCCACTCTGGGCAGCCTGCTTTCAAGTGAGTGGGCGAGGAGGTTTGACCACCTTTTCTGTCCTGCGAAAGTCTGCGGTCTGTGACAGGCCACAGGGTCAGACGGGAGGGGACAGCGACAGTGGGTTGATCGCTGGCGAGGGGCTAGGTCTCGGGCGCCCTGCAGTGGAGTTGCCAGGCTTGCATTGCTTCTTACACTGGAGATTTTGGGGCCTCCCACGGACCTCCCTGAAACAGAATCTGAAAGTTGGGGCTGGGGAGTCTGACTTCCAAAACAAGCACTTCTGCTTAAGGCTGATGTCTGAGAGCCAGCCCTTAGGATGGCTTCGCCCCAATTTGCCAAGCTCATCCAAGGAGAAGGACCCTCCACCGGACAGCCCTCCAGATTGCCCCCCAGCAGGTGCTCCTGGCTCCCATCATGGCCCACCTCAGGGAGCTTCACGCCCCACTGCCTGGGATGGGGTGCAGCAGGGAGGAAGGCTGTGGTTTTGTGCAGGGCACACCCAAGCCTCTGCTTCCTTCCAGCCCCCAAGGCCACACAGCCAACAAACATGTTTCAGACCTGCTGGGGTCCGGCCAGGTGGCCCAGAAACAGCCAGGACTGAGTGCATTTGGAGTGGTTGGTTGAGGCCAGAGAGGATGGAGCTGGAGAGCGAGGCCAAGGCCCATCAGGAAAGGGCTCAAATGCCACACTCACTCAGGAGGCTGGCCAGTCTCCCACAGCTCTAAGGAAAGGGCTTGACAACCAAGCAAGGTCAAGGGAGGGCTGCCCTGCCTGTGAGCCCCCTTGCCCTGCCCGGGAGCCCTTCTGGAGGGCTTCCGGGCAGAGGAGGATTTCCACTGGACCTTAAGGCACCCACGCAGTGTCAACAGCAAACCCGTCCATGTGTCTTGTTGGGGCCACTCTCCTCTCGCGCTGGCTCCCCAGCCCTGACACTGTGCTGGACAGTGGCCAGCACTCAGCAGTTATTACAGGTGGCAGGATGGCTCTGTCAGCCACATGCAGGGTTCCAATCCTGGCTCCCCTGCCACCGCCATGGGCAAGTGACTTCACTGCACTGTCCTTCCCTTTGCTCCTCCACTAAAGAGCTGTCACAGACCTTGCAAGTAAGATCGTTGCAAAGGGCCCAGCGTGCAATAGGAGCTCAGAAAACGTGGTCACCTTGCCTGTTTTCTCCCACTCTGTCCCTGTCCCAAAGCCTTGCTTCCCAGAGCAGTTCCTACTCAAGCAACCTGTGTGCATCCTTAGATACTTTCTGGGCCACGCCTAAAAAGAGAACCTCCCGGTTAGTCTCAATCTCTATTGAGTATGCAGTGTGGGCTCTTGAAAGAGGACTAAACAGAGATGACAGCCACACCCTTGGACCTCCCTCGGGTCGGTCTCCCAGTCGCTTGATGACTGTATTCATGTCCACAAACTGTGAGGGAAAAAAAGAAAAAACAAACACTGCATTTATGTCTGCCTTGTCTCACCACAGTTCCCTGCCTTCCAGGATCCTGAGCCCTCAACCCCTGGCTGCCGTGCCTTCCAATTTAAGGCGGGTGGGGCGGGGGTTGCGGGGTGGTCTTCCAATTTTGTCCAGCTTTTAAAGCTATCCACAGGTGCTGGAGAGGGTGCTGGGTGTTGTGTGTTTTTATGTCTTTCTACAAGGAGCTCATCTGCCATTGTTAGAAATAGGTATCCCCACCGTGTTTTTAAAGTAAGATTTTTCGCAAGTCTCCGTTGCCAGCTGCGCTCGCACCTCGCTGTATTTCCCTCGTGCTGGGCTCCTGGGCCCCTACCTTTGGTGCCATCGGGTTGACGGTGGTCCCTCCTGGCTTCTCGCTGCCCTGGGTGTCCTTGAAATTCCATATGTGCTCCCAACCCAGGGGCCAGGGAACCCGAGGAGCATCCGCAGCCTGTCCTGGAGCAGGTGCGTGGTGGGAGATGAGGAGATTCGATCGTGGACACGGCAGAGGAGGCGATTTTCACATCTCTGTGAGCTGTTACCTGGATTTCTATGCGTGCTCTGGCTGATTGGGTATAGCTGTGTGTATGTGCTGGTGTGTGTCTGCCACTGTCCACGGGTGTCAGTGTAGAGTGTGTGTTTTTACGTCTTTCTTGGGGCCACCTACATTTGACAGCTTAAGTCAGGAGGAAGGTGCAGCGGGGTCACCAGGGCCAGCAGGAAGAGCAGGAAGTGACTGAGGTCAGATCCCTGGGAACAGAGAGTTTAAAGGTAGGGCAGAAAGAGGAAGTCAGCCGAGCGAGGCCGGGCGAAGAGCCGGAGTGGACAGGAAGGGAGGAGCCCGCCGCGGGACGGGAGGAACCGCTTCCAGGAGGGCGCGGTCAGAGGTGCCCGGCGGGCGGGGCGGGGCGGGGCGGGGGCGCCCGTGGGGCTGAGCCTCGGAGGGAGCGGGTGGGCTGGAGGGGTTAAAAGGGGCGCCGCGCAGGCGGACGGGCGTGTGGGTCGCCCTCCGAGAAGGCAAGGAGGAGAAAGAATTCTCCAGACAGCCCGGAATTTTTCAGACAGCAATGAAAATGCAAGTCAACGGGAGGCGCCCCGCAAGGGGCAGCACTGCGGAGAGCCGGGCTCCCCAAGTGCGTCCGCCCCGCAGGTGCTAACGACCCTTCAGACACACAGAGGGCCGCAGAGATTTGGAAAACCACCTAGATGATATTATTCAACCCTAAAAAAGGGGATAATCTTGTCATTTGCAACACCGTGGATGGCCTTTGAGAGTATTACGCTAAATAAAGTAAGCCAGAGAAACAAATATGCACTATATGATCTTCCTTTTCTGTGTAATCTAAATTTGAAAAAAACTCAAAGAAAAGGAGAATAGACGTGTGATTGCTGGGGGTGGGGAAATAGGTAAACGTTGTCAAAAGGTACAAACTTCCAGTTATAAGATGAGTAAGTCCCGGGGATGTAAGTGCGGCATGTGACTAGAGTTGACGCTGCCCTATTGTATATTTGGAAGTTGCTAAGAGAGTGAATCTTCAGTTCTCATCACAAACATGTATGAGACGATGGATGCTAACTAGTCTCACCGAGGCCGTTGCACTACACGTGAGCCAGATCGAGGCTGTACCCCCTACCTCATGTAGGCGTTGTATGCCAATTATATCAAGAGCACTGGGGGGAAACCCACTTAGATGCTCACACCCACCCAGAAGTCGGCACTCAGGACTTGCAATCCCATGCTCAGACCTGAAAACACACACTATACACGGACACACAACGCCCTGACCAACACAGAAACGGTGGCACACCCAAACACTCAAACATGCGCGCACACCAGGCTTGTCTCCTGAGGACCCCAAGTCACCGCTCCTCACACCAGGGCCCCGGCCCCAGGCTCCCACCCTCCGCTGCCAGTGGCAGCCCTTTGCAGCAGTCCCCGCCCCCCTTGCTGGCAGCCCCAGCCTGGCAAGGACTCCCGGCTGAGCTCTGCTCCGTCCAGCCTGAGCGCTCACACTTTGGCAAGTCTGCCCCATGGCTAACTCATCGCTCAACCACTCCTGGCCAGCCTTCTCCAAGCTGTGGCTGAAGCGGTGGGCCTTCAAGAGAGGTAAGAGGACAGGCAGTGAGCAGCGGGCACCGGCCACTGGCAGGGTTCCCTGGACAACTTGCCCACCAGCCCACCTCAAGTTTCTCCTCGGCCTAGGGCATTGACTGTCTGAGCCAGCCCCCAAGGCCATGTCCCCGTGGGCCCCATGAAGCACGACAGACTTGTGGGTCCTTCTTGTCCAAGAGGAGACACCTCCCAGGCTCAGCCATAACTTGCCTCAGGAGGTAAATTTGCAGAAGGGGAGAATTCCCCTGGACTCCCTCAGGGCACCTGCTAGCTTCCTGGGGTCCCTGATGCTGTTTGCCCTGGTGACTGTAAGAGGGAGATGTGTTGAGATCCCAGGGGTTCTGATAGCACCCCTTTGAACACACATGCTCATTGGATGGTGGCCCCTTGGGCAGCGGGCCTCAGTTTCCCTCTGTGGGGGCTAGGGAATTTCTTTACAGAAAACGATGCTTCTTAAATCTCAAGAGGAATTTAGCCCTCAAAGATGAGCAGATGGTGTCCAGGGCCACCGAGTGTGCTGCACAGTGTGATAGCAACCCGCTGTGCCCGCCGGCTTTCCACAGGCATCTCCATGGCAGGCCAGCCCTCTGCTCTACCTCAGCAAGGTCTGGCGACCATCACTTGCAAGAACCGAGAATGTGTTCAAGGTGGCAGCGAATGTCCATTCAGGATGGGGGGCAATGGGAAGATTGATAAGCTCCATCCACAAACTCTCACTGAGGGCCCACTGTACGCTGCACCTTGCGGGGCGGGGTGGGGGGGAGCGCTATCAAGGGGAACTGAGCATGCAGCTGGGGAGATAGAAGAGCCTCGTGAAGTTAGATGTAGAGAGGTTGAGAGACTTGCACAAGGTCACACAGCAAGGGCATGCTAGAGGAGCCAGGATCTTAAACTTATTCTGTTCCACCTTTGTGGTGCATTTTGCCTGGTGGGTAGAGCTGCCAGTGTGGGCAGCTACAGGGCCTGGGGAGGGTTTCTGCACCCACCAGTGGATGGCAGTGTTGGAGGATTTAATGCACCTGCTGCAGATCAGCAAGATCCTCATGAAGGTCTACCTGCTCCTGGCCACCCAGCCCAGCCAGGCTAGCTGCACAGGGAGACGGGAGCTGTGATCTATAGGCCAGCAGGTGGGTCAGTCGTGAGCTGTGGGAACCCCTCGATGACTCTCATTCCATTTTACAGCTGGTGCTGCGGGCGCTGCTAGGGGAAGAGGCTGCCGGGACCTGAATCCAGGCAGATGGGCAGCTCCTTCAAGCGGATCTCAGGGTGGAGGCGGGAGCAGAGAGTGATTTCACCACTGCCTCCCTCCAGTCCCCTTTGTCCCCTTGGTGGGCAAAGGAAGACTGTCCTGTTTGTGTCCCTCTTAAACTCTGTACCTGGCTGTGTAGGGCAGATGGACAGTCAGACTGGCCTGGTGGGACTTCCAAGAAAACAGTGGGGCTGGATTTGAGGAGGCAGACGAGGCAGGGGCAAGGCTTTGGGATGCACTGCCCCTGCCCCTCAGTAGCTCTCACTACCCTCTTCTAGCCATGCTTTTACATCCGTTCCCTAAAACACAGTAGGTGCATATGTGATGGATACATTCTGTGCCTCAACTCGGCTTCCTTCCCACCTGGCTTCTCTGCCATAATTTTGACCCCATTCCAGCTCCACCTCTCACCAGCTCATCCCTCAGAGTGCCGTCTCCTGGATGGAACTCCTCACTGCCTCTGGGCCCTGCCATGTCACCTGCCCCCCCCCAACTATCCATCTGTCCATCGTCCATCCATCCATCTAACCACCCATCCATCTAACCACCCATCCATCTAACCACCTATCTTCCAGCCAAACAGTCACTCTCCATCTATCCATCTGTCCATCCACCGAACCCCATCCATCCATCCATCTGTTCACTGATCCACCCATCTAAACATCCATCTACCTAACCATCCATTCATCTAACATCCATCCAATTGTTCACCCATTCATATATCCAACCAACCAACCAGCTAACTATTCACTCATCCAGCCAACCAACCAGCTAACCAACTATCCAACCATCCGTTCATGCATCTAACCATCCATTCATCCACCTAACCACTTATTCACCAGTCTATCCACTCACCAGCTCACCACAGAATAACCTGTTGTTTATAAGTTGTTTGATGTGAGTTGGAAATACCTAGGTTTACATCCCAGCTCTGCCCCTTAGCAGCTTGGCATGATCTTGAGAAAATCAATATATCTCCTGAGCCTCGGTCTGCACTTCTGTAAAGGGCAGACTCAGAGGGTTGTTGTGAGGCTAGAGGAGTGCGGCATGTGATGGGCTCAGCAACAGCCCGGGCACACAGTTGGCTGAGAGACACGAGGCTTTACTGCTTGGAGCTTGGAGATGTGAAAGTGGATCAGATACAGTCTGGAGCAGGGATCAATAAATCTTTTTTGTAAAGGGACAGAGAGTAAATATGTTTTGCTATGAAGGTCACATGGTCTCTGATGCAACTACTCAGTGTTGCTGTTGCAGCATGAAAGCAGTTGTAAAGTGGTTGTGGCTGTGCTAGTGACACAGGTATGGAGCCGTGTTTGGCCCTTGGGACCCCTGGTGCAGAAGGGCGCAAACAAGCCAACCACACTACAGTAGGAGGTAGAGAAAGGGTGCCTAGCAACTTAAAGCCCTCGGGCGAAAACTGTCTGCAGAGGGCTGGAGAGAGCCCTTGCATCGCAGGGCACATGGAGCGAGCTGCTGCAGGTCGCCGCTTGTCCCTGGTCTGGGCAACAGCTGCCGTGGGGCGGCGGGGAGGGACGGAGTGTGTCGCGGGGAGCTGGGCGCTCCGGTATCTGAGGGTTACTGTCGGGGCCAGATGAGATGGGAGCGGGGCTCTGAATCCCACAGAGCCCGCCCCAGGGTTGTCACAGATGCGGGGGAATAAACAGGAGGCGTTGCAAACACTTCTCTGTTTGCCAGGAGAGGGGACGTGGCTCTTCCCTCTAGAGGAGAGCAGGCCCCGAGCCCCTCCCTTACTTCCCACCCCTGTGTCCAAAGGCTTTTATTGAGAACCATATGCATGGGGGTATACATGCAAAGCTCATCAATCAATGTCAAAAGGCTACATTTACAGAAAACAGAAACAATTGAAGGATCACAAGAGATCTGCCTCAGGTCAGGGTTTATGAATAATGTAAAGCTCCTTCCCAGTAGGAACTGGTTATCATCTCTTTTGAGGGAAGATCAAAGCAAGCTTAGAGGAACGTACTCCTAGGTCTGATTGTCCCGGGGAACTGCCAGATCCAGTTTAGGGCTGTACCCGCCTTTAGTAGTGTTTAAGGCCTGAATCAGGTGGGCGAGCCAGAGCCCCCAAGAGAAAAGGAGACTCCTTTCAGATAGAATTGAGGACTCCGGCCAAGTCCAAGCCGAGCCAAGGGGTGCGCGCCTTTTTGCCCTTTCTCTGTGTTCCCCAATTTCTTGTCTGCTTCTCATACCAATCCATGTCTGGCTTAGGTTGCCCCTTCATCGAGGGGTCTTACCCATCATCAATAAGTGACCGTCACAGGGCCAAGCACCGAGGCAGGAGCTGCGCCCCTGCCGGGGGGAGGGCCGGTTACCATGTCCTCGGTGTCCTGTTTTCCCAAGGCCTCCCTGATTATTTCCAGCCTTGGGGCCCTCCTGCCTCTGGGCAAGGTTACAGTCCCTGAAACCAGGGAGGGCGATTCCTGACACCCTTGGTTGTCAGGCAGAACTGTGGGGAAGAGCAATGAGGGGGGCACAGAGGCCTGAGGAGCACAGTGAGTCGGGATCTCTGTGTGTTGGGGGGGCGATGAAAGGATTCTGACACCCCCGCAGTTCAGTCTATGACTGAATGACAGTCTATGACTATGATGTGACATCAGGGTCAGAGCTGAGACTGTTATCAGGATCCAGCTCAGCCTGTTCCTGAGTTAGAAACTCCCATCAAAAGTCTAAATTCATCCCTGACCTTTCGCCTTTAACCTTTTGATGCCTGACCTGCAAGGTCGTGAATGCCTGGCAGGAGCTTCTGCCTCAGGGCCTCTGCAGGCTGTGGAAGGCCCCGCCCCCAGGAGCCCCGCCCAGCCCAGCCAGCGAGCCCTGCCGCCTCCCAGGGGTCTCTGGAGGACAGCGCCTCCCTCCCAAGCTCCCAGCATCCTCCAGTCCCCACCTCCAGTTGTGGTCGGTCTCCTCCTTACGGCCTGCTGGTTTTAGTCTGACACTTCCCTAAGTCACAGATGCTGCCTGGGCTGCGGGGTGGGGGAGGGGGAGGCAGGCTTAATGAGGGCAGCAGAGCAGAGTCCCTCGGCCAACCTGGGGGTAGCTGGGGGGTGCGCGTGCGAGGGGCGGCTGGTAATGAGGGTGGAAACCGGCCTCGGCCCCCGCTGCGGCAGGCCCGGGGTGAGCGGAGCTGCAGCCCTGTGCTTCTGCCCCCGCACCACCCTTGGGAGGCGCCCAAGTTGTTTTGGTTACAAGGCCATCGAGATATAATTTACACACCATACAAGTCTCCCACATCATGTGTACAACTCAATGGCTTTCTGTATGTTCACAGTGTAACACAGTCATCACAATTCTAGAATATTTCTATCACGCCCCCAAAACATCTGTACTCTTTAGCTATCACCCATAATCCCCCAATCCCTATTCTGGAGATCATGAAATAAGGGGAATCACATAGCATGTGGTCATTTGTGCCTGGCTTCTCAGCGATTCAGCGAGCGTCCTGTCTTCGAGGTTCATCCACATCATAGCGAGTGTCAGGGCTTCATTCCTTTTTGACGGCCAAGTAATAACAGTCCATTGTGCAAATGGGCCCTTTGTGTATCCATTCATCCACTGATGGGCATTTGGGGCGATTTCCACTTTTTGGCTATTAAAAATGCTGCTATAGACAGTCATGTATGTGCCCTGGCTGGTGCGGCTCAGCTGGTTAGAGTGCTGTCCTGAGCACTTGAGGGTTCAGTTCCCGGCTGTGGCTCATACATGAGGCAGCCAGTCGCCATTTCTCTCTCACATTGATGTTTTTCTCTCTCTCTCCCTTCCTTCTAAAATCAATAAGCATGGCCTTGGGTGACAATAAAAAAAATTTTTTTTAAACAGTCGTGTACAAGTGTTGGGATGGAGGTTTTTATTTCTTGTAGGTGGAGAACTAGGAGTGAAGCGGGAACAGCTGGGTCGCGTGCTAGCACATGCTTTTAGAGGAACTGCCAAAGTGTCTTCCAATCTCTTTGTTTTTCTGTATTGGGGGGGCGGTTGTTGCACACACGTGTGTATGCAATCTCTTTTCATCCTTTATTTATCAAATGTGTTTATTTCTGCCTTGGCTATTTTCTGATAGTTTTGCTACCTCCCCAAGATCTCAGCAATTTTGTACTCACAAGTTTGTATTCTTTCTCTTAAAAGAGGCCGCCCCAATCTGTGTGAGCGTCAGCCCCCACACTTGGGGCAGTGTGTGGAGGCGCGCAGCTGCAAGGAGAGGCGCGGGACTGCGCGCGGGCAGGCCGTGCAGGCCTCCCCTCTGACCCGACAGCGCGGCAGAGCGGCCTCACCACCCCTCCCCCTGCCGCAGCAATGGCCGTAGGCAGGGTGGCCACAGGACGGACCACCCAACCCAGACCCTTTGCAGAATGAAAGGGGTGCTGTTAGTACTCACCTTGGCTCAGTAGCATTACCTCGGACTGTCCCCAGAAAACCAGGTCATCCAGACATAGGGGACAAAAGCTATGGAGTAAACGGGGACCTAACTTGGTGCTTTCAGAAAGCATCCACCACTCCAACCCCCATCGCCACCCTCTGCCACACCTGGGGCAGCTGCTGCCCAGACTGCGGAGGTGCTGGGCAGTCCCTCCAGGCGCCCCACGCTGGCCTGCTCTCCTCCACCTCCACCGCCTTCCGGAGCCTCCTCTCCAGGCGCTCCCCCGCCTCCCTGGTTTGAGCGGGACCCAGGGTGTCTTGGGGCGGGGGCGGGGGGGATGAAGGAGTGAAGGGAGTCCAGATGTCAAAGCAGTGAAATAAAATACACACGAGAGAGGCACTGTAGGTGGAGGGTGAATGGAAGTTCCTGGAGGGCGTGGGATGAGGTCTTCATGCAGGTAGCCTCATGCGGCACGGAGGTCTCAGGCAGCGAGTCCTGCAGGAGCAGGGATAGGCACAGAAGGAAGGCCCTAGTGACCATCGGTGGCTAAGTAGGACATTCAACTTTCTCCAGGCAGGCGGTGCGGAGCCTCCGCAGGTGCCCCAGCGGCAGGGGTAATGTGCTGTAGCTGCAGCGGAGGGAGCAAAGGGAGAAAGGGAGACGTACACACCTCCCACAGCTGGAGGCTCAGTCTAGAACCCGAGATCAAGCCAAGGCAATAAAGGGGGCCCAGCTGGCCAAGCACCTCGGTGTTATGCCTGACACACTCTAGGTCCCTTCATCCTTTCTGAAGCCCTGAAGGGTGGGCATTGCCACATCTACCTTCCAGATGGGGAAACTGAGGCTCAAAGAGGTGCCTCCCCCAAAGGTGTGAACCATTAGTGGCAGAACCAGGAAGGGACACGGTCTGACTGACCCCAAAGGCCTTGTTTGCCCCTCTATACCATGCCACCCAGAGGTCCCTGGAACTCAAAGTTTCAAGAGGAGGCAAGAGGCAGCCTGAAGTTCCTTCAGATGTGGGTTGGGCACTTCATTTGGTCTTAGGGACCTAGTATATCCACATGAGGGCTTTTTGCTGGAACAGGCATGACAAATTGATGTCATTTCACAAATGCGCTTAGATTCACTGGAGACAGCTGCCAGGAATGGTGTGCTGGGAAGAATTCCAGGGGGACAAATGGTTCAGCAAGAAAGAGACTCATGATTGCATAGAATGTCAGCCACAGGCTCGGGGCAAGGAAATGGTGGCATGGATGTTGGCTTACGGATCACTGAGGCCATCCTTTCTTGCCACCTCATTTTATAGATACGGAAGCTGAGGCCCATGGAAAACCATGGCAGATGCAGAACTCAGAGCTCCTCGGGCCTCGCAGCTCAGCCCTGACACCTTGTCATCCCTCCTTTCCCCACAGGCTCTGAGTCCACGCCCTGTGTCCAGCCCTTTGACCCTGGGGCTGAAGCCTTGGCCATCAAGAGCAGCAGTGGATTCTGAAGTCCTGAGCGCCTGGCCTTCTTCTCCACCATGGGAGATGCACAGGCAGGTGTCTGACCGCTGCGACGGGCAGGAGCGATGGCACCCATCCCAGCAAGTACACCTTGTGCAGCACCTGCGTGTCAGCAGGCGCTTCATGTGCATTATCTCAGGGGACCTCATTGAAACTTGGCAAATTAATTATTATCCCGTGTTAGAGACAGGAAAACTGGAATCATTGCTGGAACAAGAAGGGGGAGGGACAGAGGAAGGTGGACAGAGGGATGGATGGATGGATGGATGGACAGATGGAAAGAAGGAAGCTTGAAGAATGCGTGGGTGAGTGGGTGGATGGAAGGGTGGCTGGACGGGTGAGTGGGCATGTACACAGGTGGATGAAAATGAAAGAAAAAGCTCACACAGGAGATCCAAGCTAGAGCAGCCCTACAGAGTGGCCTCAGGCCAGCCTGAGGTGACCAAGCCGTTACCCACCACAACAACCTGTCATGGCCTGCAGGCTTCCCAGGAGAGGACAGGACTTCCCAGAAGGGGGCTGACAGCTGGCAGCGTCTGCTGACAAGCTACGCAACATTTGGGGCAGTACGTTCTCACTGAAGGGGGGTCTGGGTGTCATTTTGCACTGCCCACCACTCTAAATAAGGGCATTAGCCATATCCACCCCTGTCATTTTATATAAGGGGACACTGATTCCCAAGCCCCGGCAGGGAATGAATTGGCCCAAGCGTCAGGTTAAACAAAACTAGTATTAAGATCCAAATTGAGCTCAGGGTCTGCCCAGGGTTCTAGACCTCTTGAGTCGGAGCCACGGGCTGCAGGCAGTTGGGCCAGTGAGGCGGGGATGCAGGCACTGTGCCTGGGGAAGGAGCGCCCGCTCAACGCCTCCAAGGGAGCCCTCCACAGGTGTCCCAGCCGTCCTCCCAGCCACAGTCCCAGTCATCACCAGAGCTGGAGGCAAGGGAAGTCACTGTCCTTGTACCCTCCCTCCCCATCTGTCCCCAAGCCCTGTGAACACGTGCTCGCTGCACCTGTGCAGCCCCCAGTTCGGTCCTTTCCCCCCTTCTCCACTGCGCTGGCCAGGGCCGCCCTAAGCACACTGCCAGGTGATCTGCACAGGTGTCCCCACTGCACCACCTGGTGTCTGTCTCGCCCTGGCCAAGCCCATCTTGTATAACCTTTTCAAAGGCAAATCTCAGCCCCGCAGCCTCCCTACCACCGCTGCTTGCAGCTTGAAGCAGACGTCCTCACTTGGCTACCAGGCCTGCTGCTCTGGCCCCGTCCCCACCCCCACACCTCCAGCCGTCAGGAGCTCTTCTCTTGCCAGCTGTTGGGAGAGACTGTAAGCTCTCAAGCCTGTGGGCTTCTGAACGTCCTGTTCTTTTGTCCCCCAAAATGCCCTCACCCACAGCCTCTGCTTGGCCAACTCCTACTCATTACTCAGGGCTTCACTGGCTTCTTGTAGGAAACCAACCCGGATTAATTGATTGACTGATTGATTGATTTTTAACATTTAGTAGGATGCTATTGAAATTCTATGAACTGATAAGATGTAGATCATTTTAAAATATAGGAAATTTGAGTAATACAACCAGTAAAAGAAATAATTTACATGTCATGTGGAAACTATTTTATGTGGTTGGAACTAGTGGGGGTTTTTTGGTTTAGTTTTGGCTATGAAAGCTGTCTAAAGATTGTTTAACTTTTCCTAATTAAGTTGTACTTAGTAGGTCTTCACACCAATGATTGCCCTGGGTTTTGTGCTTTTTAAAAAAAATTTTATTTATTTATTTTTAGAGAGAGGGGAAGGGAGGGAGCAAGAGAGGGAGAGAAACATCGATGTGTAGTTGCCTCTCATGCGCCCCCTATTGGGGACCTGGCCCACAACCCAGGCATGTGCCCTGACTGGGAATCGAACCGGCGACAGTTTGGTTCACAGGCCAGTGCTCAGCCCACTGAACCCCACCAGCCAGGGCTGTACTTTTTTGTTTTTTTTAATTCATTGGTTTTTAGAGAGAGAGAGGCAGAAAGAGAGAAACATCGATTTGTTGTTCCACCACATGCACTCACAGGTTGATTATTGTATGCTCCCCAACGGGGGATCAAACCCACAACCTTGGCATATAGGGACAATGCTCTAACTGACTGAGCTATAAAAGGGCTTTTTCTAAGTAAAATTCCAATCCAGAATTCCTGTTCCTCCAGGCAGGACCAGCTGGCCCCCTTCAGGGCTCCCCAGCCTGTCTCCCGGCACGCACCGCCACCGTTCATTGGAAAAAGCAGGGTGGCCTTTCCCGCTTGTCTTCCTCCGTTAGCGCCAGGCGCTACGGGGCTGACTGTGTGGTCTGTCTGACGCAGTCACCAACTTGTCCAGAGGTAGGGCCCTGCCTGGCTCCTGAAATAAGAAACTTGGAACATAGAAACAGCAACCACCCTACTATCTGTTTCCCTCAATGGAGTGCTTGCAATGGGCAAGCCTCATCTCATGCTACCTGCAGAGCCATCTGACAAGAAGGCAGCATTACTCCCATTTTAGAGATGAGAAAACTGAGGTTCCTGGGAACCTGCCCCTGGTGATGTAGAGCTAATAAAACCATACCACGGCTGCAAACTTTGACTAAGAACTTTCTACCAGGCTGCCATCCAAGAACCATCTGTCCTGGTATTTATTTGCTATTTTGTTTTAAACCAATTCCCTTTTGGACATGATGAAATGGAACAAGGGAAACAAATGTGCATGAAGTGGCTTTGGTGTACTTTTCTCTAATAGGAAACCAGATAAACAACTGTTTACATTGTTAAAGAAAGGTTTGTCCGTGCACTATTTAAATGTGCATATGGTATGCCCTCTGAGTCTGAGTGGGAAGCCCATTCCCCACAGTTCCCCAGGGTCCCAGGAGCAAAAGCCCCATTTCCATGCATCCTCCCTGAGGTGTCAGGGCAGGTTACAGTGTTTAGTCGGAGGCCTGAAAGGCCTCCGTCGGGCCAGCTCCCACTTTTTCTCACCCAGGAAATGATGGGGGAAAGGTGTAAGTCCCCAGGGAAGCCTCGCCTCTCATTCTATCAGTGCACCTGCTGCAGGGAGCTGGGCAGCCGGTGCCCCCACCCCCACCACCCCCAGCTCTGGCCAGGTTCCCAATTCTGCCTCCTGTGAGGGACACCAGATGCGGGAGAGGGAGGGTGTCCCAGCCCAGGCCAAGAGGCTGTCCTGAAGTGTTTATATTTAGAGAAGGATGAAAACCAGAGACTGAAGGAAGCCTTCCAAGCAGTGGCCGAGGAGACAGGACAGCGCTGGAGGTTGTGCAGGCGCCAGGGATGGGAGCGCGGGAGGGCCTCGCCGAGCTGGGCCAGCCGGGGTCTGAGGCGTCCGTATTTTAACAGACTAAAGAAGGGACCCTGATGTGTAATGGACAGAGCACAGAAGTGGAGGCAGAGAACAAGCAGCCAGGGAGGTGGGAGGGAAACAAGTCAGTAGGCGCAATGGAGAGATTCCAGGGGGAGGGAGGCTGTGGACAACAGTATGGCAGCAAACACACAACTACCCTATGATCCAGCAATTCCAGTTCTGAGCATCTCCCCCAAAGTATTCAGAGCAGGGACTCAAAGAGATATTGGCACACCCATGTTCAAAGCAGATTTATCCGCAAAAGCCAAAAAGTAGAAACAACCCAAGTGTCCGTCAGCACATGATGGACAAACACAATGTGCTTTGTTTACGTCCATACAGTGTGGCCCATCCATACAATGGAATGTTAGTCGGCCTTAAAAAGGAATGGAATTCAGGTACCTACCAGAATACAGATAAACCTTGACAACATATGTTAAGTAAAACAAATCAGACACAAAAGGACATACATTGTGTGGTTCCACTTAAAGGAGTTCCCTAGAGGAGTCAGATCCGTAGGGAAAGAGAGGGGCTTAAAGGTTCCCAAGGGCTGTGGCGGGGTGAGGGGTGCGGGGGGAAGGGGAGCTGGTGTTCAGAGGGGACAGGGCTCCCATATGGGAGGACGAAAAGCTCTGGAGACGCATGGCGAGCACCGGTGCGCAGGGTGTGACTGTACTTAATTACACTAAACCGGAAACTTACAAATGGTTAAAAAAAGATATTTTGTTACGTATATTTTTGCCATAATCAAAAGAATTAGAAGGGAGAGGTCAGAACTATAGAAAGCCCCACGTGGGTGAGGTCAGGGAAAAACGGCCAGGCCCCACAGGGCTCTCCCTCATTCTGAGGCAAGCGCGGACACCGCCGCCGCCTCCAGCCCGCCACGGTCCTCCGCTGCCAAGGGCCTGGCTTTTGGCTAGCGGGTGTTTTTTCCACTTCAAACTGGACACTTCTCTAAAAATTCCCCCCACCAAGTGTGAGCAGGAATGCCTTTGTTCTCCCTCATCTGGTGAAGCCTGGCCATGCCAAGTGGTCCGGGGGCAGGGTTGCAGGGTTGCCCAAATAAAATTACAGGACACTCAGTTAGATTTGAATGTCAAATATTGCAATGCTTGGGATATATTTATACTAAAAAAAATTATTTGTTGTATATCTAAAATTCAAATTTAAACAGTTGTCCTGTATTTTATTTAGTAATCCTATCCTGGGGCCTCTTGCAGAATTCCTGCAGGACGACCCCTTCAGGCCACCAGTTGGGACAGTCCCTGGAGGGCTGCCTGAGGTCACACAGCGCCTGGGGTGGGAGAAGCCCACCCACCCACATACCCACCAAACCTTATCCAGGGGCAGACCTAACAAAGGCCTGGAAAGGGACACTTTACCTAACCTCGAGGATAATGGCCTGGAGGACATGCCCAAGCTGGGTGTTGAAGGATGAATAGGAGTTTACCAGGCTGGTCCTCAGTGGTCTGGGGGAAAAGGGTCTTCCAGGAAGGGAAAAAGCAGACTCCCTGGCTGGAACAATTGACAAACATACTGACTGGAAGGGAGAGAGAGAGAAGGGCAAAGGAAGCTAAGGAAAAGTAGAGATCAATGAGTGAAGAAAGAGCGTAGAGGTTGAATCCTGACAGGACTGAGTTTGAGCCCCACTCTGCCTTTTACGGACGGTGCGGCTGTGGGCGAGTCCTTTTTCCTCCCTGATCCGGAAAGTGGGGATAGCGGCGCCCCTGGTGGAGCTCCTGTGGGATACACATCTATCTTCCCTGTCTAACTCTGTCAGGCCCAACGCAGTCTGGTGGGTGGGAGGGGCTGCAGAGGGGCCCGTGGCCACAGGAGGCTGACCCTGGAGCCTTCGGCCAGTGCTGAGGAGCTGTGGCTTCGACCTGCTGGGAGGAGGCGTTGGAAGGACTGACAGCTCAGATGTTTTTGAATCCTCTCTGCAGGAGGGAGCAGGGCGGGGCGGGGGCGGGGGGGGGGGGAGTGAGCAAGGAGAGTGCTGGACCGAGTATTGTCATTTCCTACCATGTCGATAATTTGTTCGTCATGGTTCTCCTTGCATTACTTTGGAGTTGTTTTAAAAATTGCATTAAAATTTTATCTCAGTTCCAGAGTTTTTGGAATCCCCTTCAGTTCTGTACCTGAGGCAAGTGCCTCACTTGCCTCACCCTAGTCCAGGCCTGGGAGGGAGATTTAGGGTCCAGGAGTGCTGTGAGCCCCAAGCAGCCCCGAGGCAAGACTGGGAGCCTTGCCGCTGCCTGACACCCTGCCATCCAGAGCAAGGATGACGACCCTCTGCGTGGGCTTTGAGAAGTCCTGTCTGCGGGCGCAGTCTCCTGGGAGCCTTAAAACAAGCAGTGTGAGCAGGCAGGGCACGGGTCCCTAAGACCAGAGGTTGAACGGAAACTCAGATAGTGGTGAATCGGGTCTGCAAGCCCAGACTTCCAGCCCCTTTGGGGGGATAAGGCTTGGAGGCCCAGCTGAGACAGAGGCTGCAGGACTGCCCCCCCTCCGCCCCACCGACCGTGAGAAGGGTGCACTGGAGCCCAAGGGGGATGGGGCGAGGGGAACGGGCAGAGTCAGGGGCTTGGGGGCCTCTGCTGCCTTCAGCCAATGTCCTCTTCTCCCCACCGCCTGCAGGAGGAGGGTGGTACTCCCGGGCAGCTCGGCGAAACCACAGAAGACCTCAGCCTGGACTTGGGGGCACTTCAGGGCAGCGAGTATCTCCAGGACTTGGGCCTTGGGGCCCCTGCCCACAGCCAGCCAGGGGGGGCCAGAGACAGTGGCCCCCCTAGGAAAGCAGCAGGAAGAGGGTCATCCTTCTCGAGTGCTGTGGGGTCCCAGGGCCTGCATTGGAGACGGAGCTGGGAGAGGGCCCGGAGCTGCTCAGAGAGCTGGCGGAGGTTGGTCCCCACCCTCGATGCCCTCTAGGATGCCATCCCAGGACCAGAGGCATCTGCACGAGCAAAGGCAGCTCTCTCCCAAGACACACCTGTGTGCCTGCGCAGAGCCTGTGTGGGCACACGAATCTGTGTGCATGGGCAAACACACGCACACTGAATGAGTGTGTGCAAGCCCCAAATGGCACTGTGCATGCACACTGGCCCACACACCCGAGGCGTGCACACTGCGTCCTCGGCCTGCTCTTACCCATAGCTGTAAACCTAAACATATAGCTTGCACACCAGTTCCACAAGGCCACAGATGCACCTGGGATCAAACCACAGATGGGTGCTCAACTCCACACACCCCCCAGTGGCAACCCCAAGCAGTGGAGGGGTGCTTTAGCCACGCCCCACCTGACCTCCTCCACCCACCTCAAGTCGCTCCAAATAGAAAGTCAGTTCATGTAAAACTGAGGGGGTCCATGATGCAGCAAATCTACCAACCTGGCTCCCCCTCCACTACTCCTGTGGTATAGGGAGATCTGGCCTCCTCTCTGTGCCCCAGAAGCATCATCTGCAGTCTCTCCAGCCCCCAGATACTGGAGCTGGAACAGCAGGAAAAGACCTGCCAAAGCCCTGACTCTCTCTCCTTCCACCAGGCTCAGCCTTGACTTCTCGGCTGTGAAGGAGGGGCCCTGCCTCCCTCGGACGCTGGCTAGCCTTGCTCTGAACCTTCCTGGAGAGGGCCTGCAGGACTGGACTAAAGAGCGCCTGTCTGTGGGCAAGACCCCCGCAGAGCACCCAGGCAAGGTGGGTGCCACGTACAGCCACCCAGACAATCACACACCTCTGGGCCCAGGAGCCAGGAGCTGGCACTGCGGGTGGGAAGGAGCACCCTGCCCGGAAGGGCTTCCTGCCATGGCTGGGCTGCCCCTGCTGAGGCCGTGACTGGGCGTCTCCGAGTCCTGAGATAGCAGCCCTGGCACGAGGGGTCTTCACCGTGGAGGGCTCCACAGCCGGGGAGCCTTGGCCAAAAGCGCAAGCCATTGACTATGGAGCAGGGGGTGTCACAGCACCTTTGCAGCTGGAAGGAAGCCTTGTCTGTGATTGGAGTGTGCAACTTAGAGGCCTCATCTCAAATACGGGACTCGAGCCCGCAGCAGGGAAATACCTGGGCATCTTTGCTTGTGACTATGTCCCCCGGACATGCTGGAACCTGTAGCTCAGAGTCAGTTTCAGGGTCCCAGCAGCCCATGACCGGTGAGGGTGTGGCTCCGGTCTCTGTCTGCTCAGGAGATCCACGTGCCTGGTGGCTGGGGGGCCCTGCACATGGCCAGAGCTGGGACTGAGGCCCTTGATGTCAGAGCTTCCAGCTGCCTGGGCGACTACCCACTCCAGCCAGATGCTTGTTCCCTGCAGGAACCTGGCAGCCTGGAGAGAAGAGCAAGGTCTCAGTCGGCTCCTGTGTCCTTTGAAACCTCTCGTGCTTTGGAGACGCCTACTCCCGCTGTTCAAGGTAGCTAGGCCTGGGGCTTTCTCTCATTCAAACAAGTAGGGAAGTGGGGTTCAGCTGGAGGGCACCCTGGATGGGGTCCCAGCTGGACCCCACAGAAGATGGAGGGGCCGAGGGTCTCAGGGAAGGAGGCTCCAGAGAGGGGGAGAGGCCTCCAGCATCTTGCCCTTCCTTCCCCCTCCCCAGCCCGGGGCCGGGGCCAAGGCTGGCTGCACCGATGCAGTGGCGGTTCCCCCGTTCTCTCTCTCACTCTGTCTCTTTCTTTATCTCCCTGTCCCCAAATCGCTGTCCCAAAAGCTGTGTCTCTCTGGTGTGAGACAGATAGACCTGCAAGTGAAACCCAAATCTACCACATTTATAACAAGTCTCAGCCTCTGCAGCTTTCTCTAAAAATTGAGAAGATAAGTGTATCTCCTTAGGGCCACCTGGGGGTTCACTGAGCACACACATGCAAAGCGCTCAGCATATCATAAGCTCTTGTAAGGAGCTGGGACACCTCCATCCCTGGCTCTCCTCCCTCCTGAGAGTGGCCAGGGCCCCTGGACTGTGCCCAGCCCCACAGGTCGGCCCCACCCCAGGGCCCCTGACTCCTGCGCCTCCTGGTGTGGGGGCTCTTTCCAGGCCTGGGGCCGACCGCACTGGAATGTCTGGAAAAGGACCGTGTGGAGCCGGACCACATGTGAGTGTCTGCCGCACGCGGGGCAGGGCCCCGAGAGCACAGCCAGGGGCCAAGGCTGTGGAGGAGGCGCACACGTTACAGCCACGGCCCCTCTCAGTCCCCTCAGAGCCTTGGCCTTCCCTCCCACACCAGCCTTCTCCCCAGGGAGGGACCCGAGCCCCTCAGAAAGGCTCTGAAACAGCATCAGGAGAAGGGTCAGGGGTCCTGGTCAGGGTCTGCATGGGGACCCACGGCAGGGGGAGCTACCCCAGCTCATCGCAGGGAATGTCTGTAACCTGGGACCACTGTGAGCTATTTTATTCCTGCCCCAGGCTGTTGGTCCAGCAGGTGCTGCAAGAACTTCGACAGTACCATGGGTGAGTGGAAAGGGGACAGGTATGAGGGAGCAGGGGTGGGAGGATAGGTGGGGGACAGATAGGGGAGTAGACAGGTAGGGGGACAAGCAGAAGCGGACAGATGTAGGAGATAGGTTGTGGAGGAGAGTGGGGAACATACGTTTGGAGGAACAGGTATGAGGGACAGATGTGGGAAAGAAGGAGCAGGGAAGACAGGGAGAAATGGGGACAAGAAAGGTGGGAGGAGAGACCAGTGAGGAAAGAACGGGGCCAACAGCTGGGAAGGAGAGAGCGGCACCAGCCACACGAGCCTCCGCGCAAACGGGGAAGCGCGCGACTGCCGAACGCAGCCCGCGGCCAGTCTCCCCGACGGGCCGGCTCTGTTCCGACCGGCGGGCCCCGCCTTCTGCGCGCACACGTGCCCCGCTGGCCGCACGGACAAGCCCACATGTGGGGGAGGGTGGGCTCTGGGGCCGTGGCACCGGGCACGGAAGCCCTGAGGGCGAGGGGCGGGAGCGGGCGGGGCAGCGGGGGCGGAGGGGGGCTGCGGACCCAGTTGTGTGTCCCCTCTGGTCCTGCAGGGCTCGGCAGAGGGCTCACTTGTCGGTCAGCCCCGGAGACCATTCAAACCTCACCTGGTTTGAGTTCCTGTCTGAGTAAGTCAGCGGACAGGCTGCAGACAGAAGCCACGGGCGGGCGCGGGCGCGGGCGGGGGGAGGCGGAGCCGGGCCTGCACCCGCGGCCCTCCGAGCCGGCCCTGAGCAGGGAGGAACCGGGGCCCCCATTCTCTCACTGGAACCGCCAAGGGCAACAGTGGGGACGAGGGGGGGGCTGCTCCTTCATGGGGAGGTCGGGGAGGCGACTTCCTGGAGAAGGTGACAGCTTGAGCTGGGTCCTGGTGGAAGAGGAGAGTCCACCAGCACTCAGAATGGAGGACGGGAAAGGAAACAGCGCCTCCCCGAGGAGCTGCAAGGACCAGGGACCGGTGTCGGGGTGGGCCTGGGAGGAGGGACGGCGAGGGAATTCAGCAGAGGTCAGATGACCCCTGCAACGCTAAGGAGCGCGGCTCTCTAGTGACTGAGGACAGCGAGCACAGACAGGGCTGGGGCGGGCAGGGCGCAGACTGGAGGCGCGGGATCTCCCTGCAGGGAGTAAGGTCCTGCCAGGCTGTGCTGGTTTGTCGCCGGCCTGATAAGCATTTATTAAATGAGGGTGTACCTGTCGTCCAGGGGAGGCATGGCAGTGTGACCTGGGGCTGGGGTATTGCAGGAGGAAAGAGGAGCCCATTTGAGAAAAATCCTGCAGAAGGAATGGGCAGGATTTACAGGTCGATTAGATGTGGAGGTCGGGGAAAGGTGAGTCAGAGGGAGGAGCAGAGATGACAGAGCCAAGATTTCCAGCCCAGGGCCCACCGAGGGACCTCCAGCTTGACACCATATTGCTGGCCCCCTGCAAACTAGTCCCTAAGGTTCCTGAAACTTTGCAAACAGCTTCAGATGTCTGTTGCGTGAGTAAGTGAGTAAGAGAAGGGAGAGAGTTGGGGACCACAGAAGGGATGAAACAGGGGGAGGAGGCCCCAGTATGGTGGGTGGCAGGTAGATCCCAGGGGCGACATGTAGACTGGCTCAGAATGGCCCTCTAGGCCTGCTGCCCCTCCTCATCCACCTTCCCACCCTCAGGAGCAAGGATGGAGCCAGCAAGGTTGAGAGGAGTGACAGGGGCGCCACCAGGGTGAAGCGCAGGCTCAGCTCCCTACGCAGTCGAGTTGCCAGGCACAAGGACAAGGTCAGTATGTCAGGGTGCCCCTCGCCCCAGAGCCCTGTGATCCAAGGTAGGTCTGGATGCATAGGGCATTCGAAGCCCCACCTCTGTTGCCACAGGGGAAGACCCCAGCACATCTAAAGGACAACGATCAGGATGCTCAAGAGAGGAAGGAATGTGTCGATGGCCACCAGCTGTCCCGAGGAACCTTCTTTGGCCACTCCAACTGCCCCCCGTGCAGCAAACCCTTCCTCAACTCCAGTAAGTCAGGTGGCCCAGCCTGTCCCCTTGGATGGCAGCCACTTTCTCTCCTTTACTTTTTCTAAATTGCTCTTGTGGCTTCCTTCGGTCTTTGCATTCTTGTCCTATTCCACCGTTGTCAAGGGTAGGCTGACCTTAGCTGTCTGGAGAGCACCAGGGATTGACCCCCAAGGACAGGAACTATTTGGTTAGCTAAGGGCCCAAAAAATTCCCTTTAAGTCTCAGTTTTGTCATGGCAAAAACGTTCTTGCAAAATCCGAGCTCAGGCAGTGTATCAGTTAGCTAAGGCTGTGTAACAAAGTACTGCAATCTGTGTGGCACATATTCTTACAGTTCTCAAGAATTCTGAGATCAAGGCTCCTTCTGAAAGTGCCAGGAAGTCCTCTTCTCTGGTGCCTGGCATGTGGCTGACCTCACATGACGTGCTCCCGGTGTCTGTGTCTGCGTCCCAATTTCCCCTTTCACAAGGACCCCAGTCATGTTGTATTAAGGGCCCTCCCTCCTCTAGTGACCTCATCTGAACTAACTACATCAGCAATGACTCTATTTCCAAATAAGGCCACCTCCTGAGATACTGGGGGGATTAGGATGGCAACCTATGAATTGGGAGGCACACAATTCACCGCGTAACAGGCAGCATCCTGCTTCCGGTGCTCTCCAGGGAATAGCAGTGAGGCTGTCTGCTCAGGAAAGAGCACTGGGTTCAAGAGGCCCTAGAGGGTAATGGCTGCAGTCTTTTCTGGGATTTAGTACTCTGCCTTTTTGAAGGAGAACCCCGCTTTGTAGGGGTGGAGAAGAGGCAGTGGCAAGTACATGTTTGTAAAGCCGTGTGTGCTGCTTGTAGCCAGGATTCAGACTGCGGACTGCGGCAGGCAGGGTTCAGGCTCGCGAGGGGTCCTCGACCTTGGCACTCTTGTGGGAGGCAGCCTGATGCATTGTAGGGTATCGAGCAGCACACCTGGCCTCCACCCACTAGATGCCAGCAGCACCCCTCCCATGAGTTGGGACAACCAAAGATGGTCTCGGACATGGCCAAACGTTCCCTGGAGGACAGAAGCGCCCCTGGGTGAGCGTCAGTGGGCTGGTGAGGTGGAGAGCAGGACCTGGGGAGACTGTGCAGGGCCGGTGCCCTCCTGTGGCTTCAACCACAGGTTTTGCATTTCTTGCCTTTTCTGGCTCCACATGGGGCATTAGTTCCTTCTTCCTCGTTCCTTCCTCTTTCGCGAGTGCTGCTGCCATTTTGCCTGGTGCAGGGCTGTGGGTGTCCTGCTGGTGGCCGCTGTTGTCAGGGATGTGCCATTTCAACTCTCTGTCCCTCAAAGGAGCTCCAATCCACCTTCTGACACACAACACATCTTTAGCTGAGGCTGGCATGGGCTTTGCAAAGTGCAAAGTGCACTGACAACGTGTGTTTTGAAGCCCTTTAAGCAGCACGTGATTTCCTGTTTCTGCTGACCTCCTGTGCTCTTCTGGGGGGTTAAGTTCAGCTGGATACGGGGGGCCTTCCTGGAGGGCCAGGATCAAGCCTCTGGAGCCCTCTCTGCAACATCTGATTCAAGTGGCATGTGAGAGGTTGGCAGAAAAGAAGGGTGAGGCCAAAGATCTAGAAAGAGCCACAGACGATGCGTGAGCGGCTGCATTCACGCTGCACTGGCAGGGTGGAGTATTTTGCAGCGTGATCAGTCGCTACGCTGAAAATATTTACTGTGGGGCTCTTGACAGAAAAAGTTTGCTAGTCCATGAGTTAACTTACTCTGCGTTAAGAAAGACCCAGGGAGTGACTTCCCTTAGCTAAGTAGATCAATAAGCCCCTTACAAATAGGATCTTGAAAGAGGAGGGTTCCAGCAGGAACGAATGTCCTGACCATCACTTTACAATCACAGAAAACTTTGCACAAATAATAAGAATGATGGGTAACATTATGCCCCTGAGCACTTACAATACTCTAAACACCCCGTGCTTTCAACGGATTCCTCATTAGCCCTCGCAACAGCTCCGTGAGACAGGCACTCAGCCTGCCTTCGGTGGCTGAGGACTCGGAGGCCCCGAGGAGCTGAGCTCTCGCCCAAAGCCGCACAGGCAGGACTCGAGCGCACAGCTTGAGCCCCTGGTCACCAATCCACTGCCATCTTGTGCCATTTGATTTTTTAAAATAATAATAATAACATATTTTAATATTTTACTTGTACCAAAACCAAAATTGTATATTTTAAAAGAAATACCTGAATTTTTTTTTTTTAAGGACATGGAGGAAAAAAAAAAGAAAATTAAATTAGAGTTGCAGGAAGAGCCAAAGTTTAATGTATTGAAGACATTTTGTTGCTTGATGTGCCTATTGTCAATATTTGGGGGCAATTTTTAAGGTTTTCCCAGCAAAATGTTATTAATAATAGCTCTGTGTAATAATATGTAAAATAACAGGAAACTGAAAACACCTTTATACCATATTTCCTCAAACCGTCCTAAAGACAGTGAACTCATGCTCAGTTGTTTTTTCTTTGCTTTAAAATAAGCTACCAGTAATTCTAAGTCAGGCAAAACTGTTTTGCCTGGATCAAATATAAGCATTCAGACTTGCAAAACTGTTTTGCCATGAGTCCTTCCTTGCCTTCAATAAAAGCCAAAAATAGCTAAGGAGAGACTAGAGTTTATTTTTAAATTCTATGACTGGCTTTGTCTGATCTTTTGCCAGTGGATTTACTGGCAAAATATCAGATATTAAAGATCAGATTTAATTCTTTGGTACAAGCATGGCACTGTTATTGACTGTTTTCCATGGCTAACAGAGAGCATTAAGCCACCAAGTCTAGAAGACAATGCAAGGCTCAGCAGGAGCCATAACTTAATGTTTTGTCTTGTTACAGGAAAAATTAACACTGATTATATACTCTAGGGAAACTAACTCCTATGTAGAGATTTTAACATTGTAGCAAACCAAAAGGTGAAACTTCAAAATGACCCTATTTGTAACTTGTAACTGGCATATTTTGCTGCATTTTGGAAATATACCTTAACTTAGAGTATACAACTATTTGAGGACACTTAACAAAACCAAATCCTCCATGGGAGGGGGGACCTTTTCTCTCCTCCAAACTTTTAATTTTGGATTCACAGAAAGGTGCAAAGAGAACAGAGGGTCCCCCTTATACCTTCCACTCAGTTTCTGCTTATGTTAACCTCTTACATGACCATGGTACCTTGGTCACAATTTATGAACCAGCATTGGTACAATACTACCTACCAACTCCACACTTCAGATTTCACCAGGCTGTTGTGGTTGTTGTTGTTGTTGTTTTTATCAGTGTCCTCTTTCCATTTCAGGGTCCAGTTCAGGCCACTGCATTATCTTTCATCATCCTGTGTCCCCCATCTCTCTGGTGTGTGACAGTTTCTCATCTCTCCTTGTTATTCATGACTTTGACAATCTTGAGAAGTATTAGCCATGTGTCTTACACAGTGTCCCCCAATCTAAGTTTGTCTGATGTTTTCTCATAATTAGACACAGGGGTTATGGGTGTGAAGAACCTAGGCCTCATTGTATCAGGGGGAAGCACCGTAAACATGCCGTCCCCGGGTTCTTAAGCTTCATCCCTGGTTAAGGTGATGTCTGCCAGGTTGCTGTTTCCCTCTTCCTACTCTATTGTTAGAAGTGAGTCACTCAGTCAGGTCTACTCTCAGGATGGAAGGAATAAAGCTCCAGCTCTTAGAGACACCTTTGGGTTTTCAGGACAACCCTTTGAGCTCAAGGAAGACTTGAGTTTGTGTTGAAAAGAATGATGTCGGTAGCACTCGGCGTGGTGCTCAGCATGGAAGGGCAACAGCCGTGTCTGTCGCCGTCTTCCTCACCACTCTTTGCTGCTAGGACAGAGCATCTAAATCACAGGCCGAAGCCCGGGCTTTGATCGCAGCCCCCATGCCTCTGAGGAGGCACCTGAGACCACAACAGCTGTGTCTCAGTGCCGACAGGCTGAGAGCAGGCACCTCCTGGGTATAACTCGCTACAAGTGTATCTACACTGGAGATATTCAAAGCCACAGATAACTGTCCCCTAAAGGAAACAGCTCCACAATAAGTTCAACAGATTAGGGAATGAATCACTCTCTAGGTAAACGCAGAAGGTGGGGCTCCAGGGTAAGGCTGACGAGCTTTCCCAGAGACCAGCCCTTCTGAAGGAACACACTTCAGACAGCCCTGGTCCTGGCCGTCACCTCTGTGGCCCTGCGCGGTCCCACCCTGCACACCTTCCACCCTCTCTCCCGCTTTTCAGTCACCCGGGCTCCACAGCCCAGGCACCCTGAAGTCTTACGGCTGCCCAGGCTCAGCATCTTGTTCATTCAGTGCCATTCCTGGAACTCCCTGGGCCACCTAACCCTTTGAAACACAGTGCAGGTCCACTTCCTCTGTATTAGGTGACTGTGTAAGTGTACAGGTAGGTGTCTCTTAGGCCACTTGCTATCAGCCGGAGTCCTTCTGCCCCACAGGGGATATTTGGCAATGTCTGGAGACATTTTTTATTGTCACAACTGGGTGTGCTACTTACATCTAACGGGTAAAGGCCAAAGATGCTGTTTAACATCCTCCAATGTACAGGACAGCCCCCCAAAACAAAGAATTATCCAGCCCAATTGCCAGTCATGCCGAGACTGAGAAACACCGCTTTAGACTTAAGCTCTCTGCGCGTGATGAGGGCTCAGTGGATGCAGGATGGTTGGACGGGTAAAAGAAAGACTAGCGATACCTCTCCTTGCCAGTCTCCTTGAAAGTCACTTTCTACATTTAGAGGAGACCTGTGTCACCTGAAGGTTTCTATAGCCAAGGTGGCTATAGAAATAAGGGTCATACCACTCTTTCTGCTTAAAATCTCTAAAGGCTCCCCAATACCTTTGGGATAAAGTCCAACGGTCATAGCAATTCAGAAAGTGAATATTTACCAACCTTCTGAGACATCAAAGGACCGAGTTGGGGCCTCTAGGGCTTCTGACCTCAGTCTGGGCTCGGT